AGTAACCTTTTTCGTATTTGCCTGTAAAGTGTGCTGTTTGATGACTTTGCAAGCTTTTGTTTTAATATGATGCCACTGGGGATGGCAGGTACAGACATGCTATGCCCATGGTGAATTTAGTTTATTAGTTATGTTTACACTTTGATGACTCTAGAAGTGCTTAGTCATCAAGAAGTTTACCCGTTTGTGCTTTTTCTTGATTTTTTGGCATATTGCATTATATTTTATTATTACTCTTAGTATTTTTAATAATACTGTATATTTTAAATTGCTGTTTGTATTATTAATAAAACTGTAACAAAATATAATGTTATAGATAGTAATAACAGCATCGAAAAATGATAGCATTAGAAAAGAAAAAATCCCTAAAAACTCAAGGAGAAAAAACAGGTGAGAGTACATGGACTACTAAATGACTTCAGTGGCTGAGCACTTATGGAGCCATCCATGTGCAGATACATTTTTCACAAAACAATAAAACAGTGAACATCACATTTTCCCATCAGCATGAGGTTAATGGAATACCCAAAGTATAGATAATACAATTGTCTCATGTAGAGAACATGTATGTTGATTCTATTCAATAATCTTTGCCTTGCTGCTCCGCTGAAAATAGGTATCAGACTTTCATAATTTGTGATACTCAATTTTTATTTTTGATATTTGTAGAACTTGAATTTCCTCAATAGTAATTATGAGGCTGGTGTTGGTGTGTAAATGAGCACTGACGTGTCAAATTTGAGAGAGAGAGAGAATGAGAGAGAAAGAATGAGAGAGAAAGAACGAGAGAGAGAGAACGAGAGAGAGAGAGAGAGAGAGAGAGCGATAAAGGGAGAAAGGGAGGGAGAGAGGGAGAAAGGGAGGGAGAGAGGGAGAAAGGGAAGGAGAGAGAGAGAGAAAGGTAGGGAGAGAGGGAGAGTTGTATACAGTGGCAGTGAGAGTGGCATACGCCATTTGTGTCTATTAAAAAGTAAACTGAACTGATTTATATGAGCTTGTTTCCTTATAAGATTTGAAACAAAGATGTTAATAGTTACATGAGGAATAGAATAATATCTACTTTTGTATTTGCAAAACAATTGAGTTCTGGTTTTATTTTTGTGGACTAGCAAATATTGTATTTGTGAATTGTAATTGAAACTGGATAACAAAACCAATGATTTTGAATAACCCTTTTATTTTCAACATATGAATAAAAAGGGAAAAGATATATAATGAGTAAATGAATAAACAAATAAAAAGCATTAATACATATATACAATATATAGATTCACCCGCACTGTGCACTCTGGCCTACTGACTAGGGAAGGAGTTGAAAGTCGCTTAGACACAGCCCAACGCCACAGTGGACATAGCTATAATTCTTTTCTTTCCTCTTGTTCTTGAAAGTGTGGCAGTGACAACAGTGTCCCCGGATACATATGCACATCAGGTGGATTATCATGATTTTCGTCAAACTCGTAGCAGGAGAATACCTGGATGATTGTGAGAGTTTGCCAAAATGCTGGTGGGACATATGGGGCTACCAGAGGTATGGCTTATAGTGAGGAAAAAAGCAATTGCATGATTGACTTGTTCAGCCAGTCATGTCAATCCACATTAAGTCAGGTCAGTTAATCCACATCATGCAGCTACTACCAAATAAGATCAGTCCACAACATATAACAATTGTTTAATTAGGTCAGTCCATGTGACTATTGACTAGTTACATGACACCTTGGATTATCTTAACTCTCCCACCCCCTTCCCTGGGTGGCTCGACCTCCATCCTCCAAGAATCACCTACTCCCTCTTATTGACTCCTTAATTCCGGGCACGGCTACAGCTGTCTTGAAGTAATGGCCTATGACATATATATGCATCATGACTTGCAATGGGTGGGCTGGCTGTACACAGATTAGGCCTACCCACAAAGTCTAGAATGCTGTGTCATATTACATCACAAAAAATTCAGGCCCGGTCATGAAAAGGTTAAAGGTTGTACCAAAGTGTGTGTATTTAATTCATGTTGTTTAACATACCGAGAGTGACATTGGGTTAAATGTATTTTACAACATATTTTTGATAAGTTTTTTTTTTTTTTTTTTAATGTACCTTTGCAGTGTATTCTCAAGAAAAAATGCATAAGGAGGCATAGTAATTTGTTCCTTCTCCTTCAGTCAGAAAAGTCGGGAGCAAGTTGAGAACATTGTCTTCTCATATAAGTCTGAAGATGATGAGGACACCAGTTCCCTGCCTCTTCCAGGTGCTGAGTTTCCACAGCAAAATATTTACCAGGTATTTATTCAGTGCTGATTTGTTACTTGTTAGACTTTTTGCAAATGGCAATTTTCTTGTAATGACCCTCAATTTCAAAAGTGATAATATCAGAAATAGGCTTCATGTTCTGTTATATGAAAATTCAAATCTGTTGCAAATTAACCCATTGGATCTGGTTGCTTTGCCACTCTCTTGGGCATGTGGTGTGTAGGCTGGGTGCATGTGAACACTTGTGACCAGTGACAAGGCTCTGTGCCTCCCCATTACAAAGTTACTTTGCATAAACTTTTTTTAGCTTTCTTGTCATTTTCCAATGTCCATATATGTCTTTTGCTTTATCCAGCTGGTTATAGATTATTTTCCGTGCACAGACTCCATATCATCTCACTTTGTAGTAAATAACTTGATGCAAGAAAAAAAGAGGAATAATTTGTTATTCGTGACATAAAGTTAATTTTTTTCTTCATTTTCAATTTTCTATGACACAGCCTGTGCTGCCAGTCACAGCGGCCAGGAATATGATGTTAAGCCAATGGAAATGGTGTCCTCCTTAGAGACAATGCACTACCAATCATGGCTTACATACATTACATTGCACACTTTTTTATTGATGTGAATAATGCAAAAGCCAAATGCCAAATGAGTTTAATCACTCTCCAATAGGTTTATGTACTTGTGATGAGCTTTTCCATCACCCTGGCCTGTGCTCATGATGGCAAGTTCTCATCACCCATTTTGTTCTATGACAGCATGTTCACATCACCTTCCCCTGACTCCAATTTTTCCACGTCAACCAGATCGTAGGGGTTGATGCATAAAATAGAATAAAGAAGAATAAACTAGATATATAGAACAGATCCTTGTACCTACAGATATTTCATCAACATACTTCAACTTTCAGCTTGAATTGCAAATTATACTGCACTGTTCTTAACTTGTGTTTTTTTCCAGTCTGGAAGTGCTCCATACAGCAGCCTGTCAGAAGAGGTTGGGAGTGATGGCCAAACTCCAGTTAATCCCTTATACTCCGCTTCCCTCCAGAGCCCAGACTCTATCACTGGATATTCCATCAACTCCGTCGATGATATTACTATTAATGCTTATAATAAGTCTCAGGCACAGTGAAACTGGTCATAATCAATATAAAGTGTGCAGATTTGCATCAGCAGGCCAGAATATTTGGTCTTAAACATATGTGATGTTACTCTACAATCCAAAGACTTTGATAAGGACACATTGGAAGAACAATTTTGAAAACTTTGTTTTAATTGTGTAAATGAATGAATGGTATCTATTTTACTTGTGGAAGTGACTGAATGAATTGTGTCTCAATTATGTATGTGAATGACTTGAGTTTGTGTATGTAAATATGTTGGAAAGAGCATTTAATTAGTGAATGAATGAATGAATGAAGAAGTGAATTACTATTTTTTTTGTATGTGTGTGTAAGGGTTTGAATTTGTTGGGTGGATAAGTGTGCATGTACGTGTTTGTAGATATGTGCCTGTCTATATGTATGTGTTTGTTTTTGTGCACATATTTGTATATGGGTATACATGTATATGTGTATGAGCATATGGTTCCACTTATATATGTGTGTATGACTATGTGTTTACATTTTTCAACTCAAGCACACATACACACATATATATTATACAGTATATATATTGTATATACTTCATCAACTTCCATCTCCATTATTGTCTTTAGAAGTTGCAGTATAAATAGTATTTTGTACATTGAATGTGAAATTACAATTTTAGTTATTATAATTTCTTGTAACCTTTAATTTTAACTGTGATCCATCCATTTTTCAGAATTATTTATGTGTTTGTAGTGTTACAGGTAATTATTATTATTAATATTACTTACATTTCAGTCTAGTTTATGTTTTTTGGCCATGTTTCCCAATATCTCTATCTTGGTATGAGAAAACTACCTTTGAGTTTGCTTGAGATTTATACCCATTAATACACATTTGGATTCTGTGGTTACAAAATTGTGTCAGTTTTGTTCAGTAATATAAACATAATTTTAGTTGAAATGTAGAAATATTGATTATTTTGTATGCTTAGAAATATTCTATTCATACAGAATTCTAGTGAGCAGTAAAATCAGTTTCTTTGATTAGATTTGGGAAAGTTACTGTTTAAATTTAATTGGGAACCTTGAAAGAAAATGGGTTAGTAGAGGGAAGAATTATGACAAAGCACAGGCAATATATACTTGTATATTACTTACTGATCTTAAAATTTGTGTTATTCATTATGTACTAGTATGGAACCACTCGGATGGTTGTTTTATACAAAGTCTTTAAGTCTTTTCATTCCATTATCACTCACACTCATTGATATTCTTAAGTTGTGTATGTCTTTTATACTTTCTGTTGCTAGTCTCTCTTTCACACATAATTATTAAATCTGTATATGTGAACATGCATACACACACACACTGCTTATGCACATGCATACCTGCAGTCATACTCATACTCACAATCCTAATTGCCCTGATACTCGTACTTATTCATTTACTCAATTGCACATTTATCACTCACTCTGTCGGCACTTACACTCATTCATGCTTACTTACTAACTTGCTTGAACTCTAATGAATTCATATGTACTTTTACTCACTCACCTACTCATTCACCCACTCACTCACTCACTCACTCACTCACTCACTCACTCACTCACTCACTCACTCACTCACTCACTCACTCACTCACTCACTCCACTCACTCA